TAAACGAAAATAAGCTGCATCAAACATACAAAATTTAGAAAGTAAACAGAGAAATCCTTGGATTGCAAAATGCTGCAGTCAGAAATCCAGCAGAAAAATGCATATCATTCATAATTTCTCGTTTATGAAGCGAATATTAATTTTGAGAGGAATGATTCTTTTGTCTTAATCTCAAATGTAAAAGGAAGGATTTCTTGAAGCTCTACTAATCAACAACTGTACCTTTCCTTTAAAAGACTTCGACGACTCTTCAAATATGGGGATTAGTTTCTCTGAATCATTTGAAATCGCAAATAGAATCAACTGGCACAGAAAAATACAAATGTGTCAAGAATAAAGGCATTATAGAGCTGAACTTCACAAACAAAGTTGTTTCAAAGTGATTTCCATTTCAAGGAGCATGTTTTACACTACATACCTGTTTCTTAATTGAACTTTCGAAAATCAATGGTGCGCTTTCTCTCGTAAACTTTGTAACTAATGGAAGCTTATTGGCAAACACAAATTCAGCAATTGCAGACTTAGAAAACTCGCCATCTGTACCAGATATGAAACTCGGTAAAATACAATCCAGCCAAAATATATCATATCAGAGAATCAGAAATCAGAATCTCAAACTGATTAGTAAAAACAAAAGTAATAATCTAACCAAAGCGGTTCAGTTTTTCAGCCTCCTTCTTAAGCAATACCAAGGCAGGGCGTTTTGCTGAAGCTTCAATGTGGAAAAGCTTGGCCACTTCAGGATCCACCGTTTGGTAAAAGTTGACATCATCTTCCAGTCTTGAAGCAGCAGCAAGCTCATTGCTCTCAGGGCCCTGTCAAATAGCAACACGAAATCACGAAAAAAATAGTAACCTATAGCAACACGTGCAGCTCATGAAGTCAATCGAAGAAAATGCCATTCCATTTCCAATCAAGGATCATAAATCCAAGCATATAAAGTGGACAGAGCATAAAACAAGCAGAAATCAAGTGAACTCACCACCAAGGAGTTCAGGTAACCAAGAACAACTTTAGTCTCAGAAGTCAGTATGCGTTCAGCATCTTCCACCGAAGTTATGTTGTAAATACCAGGTCCGATCTTCTTCTTGATCCAGGTTACTATAGCATCCCTGTAAAAAGAAGTGGAAATTATCGTATAAATACGAGTGAACAGTGAACACACGCAGATCAAGAATGCAATGTAACGTTGACTCATGAACGCATTGTAGCAAACAGTGGCATTATCTAGATCTTGATGCAAAAAAAGCAAATCCGAAGCAGAGCATTCGCTCCATTTCCCAAGAACCAACCAGAGGTAGATAAATCTTACAATTGAGTAGACTTACTTGGTCCGCTGTCCAGGGTAAGACTTGTGGACTCCATCGGCAAAGAAATAAACAGTCGGAAATCCTTGAACGTCGTACTTCTGCGACAATTCATTCTCCTCCGTCGCATCAACCTTCGCCAAAACCACGTTCTCGCCTTTCAATTCAGTGGCGGCAGCAGCATACTCCGGCGCCAGCGCCTGGCAGTGACCACACCAGGGAGCGTAAAACTCCACCATAACAAACCGGTTCTTCTCCACGAAATCGCTGAAGTTACCCTCCTTCAACACGACGACATCCTTCTCGTCCACCTCCGGCGCCTTGTACTCATCCCGATCAGCATCCGAGTCCTCAAAATCGGAGAAGTCCCCAAAATCCTCGTCCTCGGCACCTCCCTCAAAACCATCAAAGTCGGGGAGGTGACGATGAGCGGAAGCACCGGCCGCCGCATCCGGCTCCTCGAGAAAGCTGAGATCTTCGTCCTCGTCGTCGATGGTCTTGGTGGGCGGATCTTTAGCAGGGGAATCTTTGCAGATTACGGAATTGGAGAAGAGAAGAAGAACAGCGAGAGGAAGAAGAAGAAGAAGAAGAAGAGTTCGAGTTGCCATTGTGATGCGAAGAAGAATTTCGGATCCGAATCAGATCTGGATTTTGGAATTTGGAATTCGGAGTGTGTTTTAGAAGGGTTTATAGAGAACAAAGGTCAAAGGCTTAAAAACGACGTCGTGGAGCCAGGTTAGGAAATATAACGGTCGAGCTGGAAATGGGATAACTTCTCATTGGTTAATTAACGTCACAACACAATTCACACCAATTTCAATGTCATCTTTTGTATTAACAACACTAACAAATATTTCATTTAATGTCATATTTTGTATTTGAATGTCATTTATTCGTTTCAGAAAAAAAAAATATATATACTTCATTTAAAATAATAATAATAATAATATCTATAAATAGGATTATTTAATAAATAAGCCTTATTTGATAGTGGTATCATTTTTCATTAGCAGTTTTTTAGTCCAACGTGGGATTCGGTCGAATATAGATTTCTCAATTAGTTGAATTAGATTCAGGTTGGTTTATGATTTCAATTGTTTAAAACGAGGCTACCTGAATATTGTAATTTTTTTATTTCAATGTATTATATTTTATTCTAATAAAATATATCTAGATATTCCAAAAAAAAATAAACTATATTTCTGCCTCTTTTACCCAGAATCAAAATTTTCATTCCTTTTGAGGTATCTATTAGATTATAGGAACGTAAACCATTAATGTGGTGCATTTCAAACTTTGTAATAACTCTTCTTAGAATGATGTAATATTATTAATCTCTTACAACCTCATCAATCTCATTCTCATTTTTTTATTTTGCGAGTATGCACTATATAATAATTACTTTACAATTCTTATTCTCTCTCTTCTCTCTTATTTATTAATGAGATCTATAACTTTTTAACGATTGTTTTACATATTTATTGATTCTTTTTATAATACTAATAAATTTTCTTCTAATGAAATTTTATACAACTTTTATTAGTGGTTGTGATTTTAGTATAAAATATATATAATTTTTAATTTTTTTAATTCTACTTTGTTATTATTAATTAAAAGCCATAAATTTTTTATAATAGAATTAATTATTATTAAATATTAAAACAAAAATATACTTTTAGTCCTTCAAATTTGAGGTTGGTGTCTATTTAGTCCATTTAAGAATGAATACTTTTCTCTCATGGTCATTGGTTTAAAATAACTTGGCATGTCGAGATAGCAAATTTTAGATGAGGTGGAAAATTTCATTAATTTGATATTATTACTTTTAATTACATAACTTCCTTTTTAATGTTCTCCCTTCCCTTTCTCTCTCTTCCCCACTCCAACCGCCATATATATTGGCTCCTCTGTATTCTTCAATTCAATTAATGAGGAAYGAGGAAGAGATTTTCTCCCGATTTTAGCATGGTATCAAAGCTCAAGTCTTGTGACCGAGTTCGAATTAGAGATGCATCTTGATTTCACTTGTGAGCCTCCTCCCAAATTCATCCAGAGTCTTGGAAAAGAAAATGAGGCGATTTCTACGGCCAAATCACAAATACTAATTCCCGAGGCAGAGGCAGGAATAATAATAATCATGATGGAAGGTCATGAGACAATTGTCGTGTTCAATGTCAACTTTATGGAAAATTTGGCCACACTGCTCTTGAATGTTATTCACGATTTGATCCTAAATTTCAAGGACCTCAAGCTAATAATGGTACTTATTCTCACGGCCACAACATCGCAATTYTCAGCCTATTTTCCCGCAAATTTCAGCAATGCCAACTGCTTCTAATTTAAACTAAGATTGTAATTGGTATCTTGATTCTCGAGTAACAAATCATCTCACCAATAACTTCAATAATCTCTCAGTAGGTACAAAATACCCGGGAGGTAATCAAGTACAAGTCGGAAATGGTGCTTGTTTGTCTATCTCTATTTTGGCTATTCTTCTTTCTTATCTCCCACAAATCGTACTCTATTTCATGTTTCTCACATAACCAAAAACCTCATAAATTCGAGTCAATTTGCTAAAGATAACTCTGTCTATTTTGAGTTTCACTTTTTTTTTTTTTTTTTTTTGTTATATAAAGGACCAAATCACACAAGCAAGGTGATGCTCCAAGGGAATCTACATGAAGAGTTGTACAAGTTTAATCTGTCTTCCTCCCCTGTTCCATCTATCTATGAACATTATAATTCTCAAGTTTTCATTATGCTACTCCAATTGTTTYTTCACTGCTTTAGTTTTGTCTTCTACTATTTCACTCTCTCCTATTGATACTTGGCATAGGCGACTTGGGCATTCTGCTCTTCCTATTGTTCGTCAGATTTTAAGGTTGTGTTAATCAAATTTGTCTTCAAAACTACAATTTTGGTAATGCATGTGTTGTTATTGGTAAAAACTCATGTTATTCCTTTTTCTCCCTATGTTACTACGCTCCATTACGATTAGTTATTTCTGATTTATGGGGATCGACTTATACATCATCTCGTACTAGTTTTCAATAGTACATTAGCTTTGTTGATGTATTCTCTCAATATAATTAGATATTTTTTTCAGTCTAAATTTGATGTTTTTCTACCTTTGCACTTTTAAAACTATGGTGGAAAAGCTTATAGGTCATTCTATTTTACGTTTTCAATTTGATGGTGGTGTGAAGTTCAAGTTCTTCACACCCTTCCTTTGAAACCATGGGATTTAACATCGCATTAGTTATCCTTATACCTCACAACAAAATGACATAGTTGAATGTAAACATTGTCATAATGTTTGCCTTACTTTACTATCTCAATCTTTCATGCCTCTCCCTTTTTGGGATGATGCATTTTCCATAATTGTTTACCTTATTAATAGATTGCCTTCTACAGTCCTTACTAGTGTGAGTCCCTTGGAGAAGCTATTTCGTAGACAATATGATATAGAAATGAGTGATCACGGAGTGYACGAGGAAAACCTACAAGAGGAGCAAGCTCAAATCAACTCAAATGAAGCTTATGCTCAAAGTCAACTCAATCATGAGTCAATCATTATGCCACAAGGTCCAATCACTAGAGCTAAAAGACTACAAGAAGGGTTGAATGACAACTTCCTAGCTAAGGTGTTCACACTTGGTGAAGAGTTGCATCACTTYAAGCTTGAAAAGACATCTTGTCATCCAAGAAACTTCATTAATCTAAAAATCCAGATTCATCCACATATGTAATTTATTATGTATTTCTCAAGGGTTGTGTCTTTTCATTGTGTCTTTTCAATTACTATAAATAGGGATGTATATTTGCTTCTCAAACAACAACATTTGATTGATGAGATTTTAGATTGAGTTTAGTCTCTCTCAAGCTTTAAGCTTTCTTTGTATTCTTGTGTTTAGAATGCATKGTTAGAACTTTCAATCTAGTTTTATCAATTAGGTTGTGGAGAGTTTGAAATCTTGAAGATAGGAACAAGTTTTCTTTTCTTCTTGATCTTTGATCATCTTACCAAGCATAAATCTGTTTAGCTTTCTTGGGGTTGGTTCATCATATTGTTATTTGGGTTATTCTTATTATTGTTGTGGTGGTTCACCTTGAATAGGGGAATTCTCATGCATAATTGAGATAGTTCCTTTATCATTTGGTATMAGAGCTTTGGCTCTAAACAGATTATATCTTTATTCGTTTTCCATCTTCATCATCTTTCTTTCTTTCTACTTTCAACCATATCTAAATCCATTTCGTGTGACTCTTGATCTTCTCATCTTTGCTTCAGTTTTTTTTTAATATGTTGACGTGTCATCTTCTTTTGATTCACACCATTTTACTAATATCCCTTTCTTTTTTCATTCCATTTTGCTTATTAGAAAAAGTTTTTGTATTTGTTTTCTAAATTTTTGATTTTGTGACTTTTCACATTCTATGCTATATTGAAGTKTTCTTGAATGATTCTCATAAGAATACTATAAATACTTGTTTAAGTTTGAGATATTAGAAGTAAAAATGTTTCACGAGAGGCGAAGACGTCGTGYGAATCGCCACATTAGTGAGGATCCGTTTTGGAAGGCTATGAGAGATAATTTTGCTGAAATGCGCAAATCTATGGAGTACATTTCAAAGTTAAATCAAGAATTAAAATTGAGGGACCAAGCCACRGAGAGACAAGCTGCACAATTCATTCAAAGGGAGGAAGATTTTCCCGAGCCTTAAGAGGATGACAAATCAATGCAAAATGAGAGAGAACATCCAAATCTCTAAAAGGATGATTTGAACAAAGTTGAGGTCGTTATGTATGATGTCAAAAAGGAATATTCAAATGATGAGATTGTTATGTGTGATGCTCACGAGAAAGATTCAAATGATGAGGTTGTTAYGTTTGATGAGAAGACAACAGAAGATTGTAATGAGTTATGCTCTGAAAAAGAGGTGGAGACAAAAGTAGTAGAAACAAAGGACGGTGAAAAAAGTGACAAACGAGATAAAAGTGTTGATGAGAAAAATGGTCTGATTACGAGATTTTTTGAAGCTAGTATTATATTATTTTCAAAACGACATATACAGGAGCTTGCAAAAGAACGAAGTTACTTTCTAACAGGTGCACTTAAACCAAGTGTACCAAGATTTTCTTTTGACTTTTTGCAGAAAGTTAAAGTTCTCATTGGAAAGCAAAATTCAAAAGTTGCTTTTAAAAAGAGTAAATTTCGTTCACATGGGACACATGAGTCTAAGAGGCTACACAAGAAGCATCATTCCAACTTCACTTCCTACCACATCCAAGATAAGAAATTCAAAGCAGAGGGGGATCCAAGTAGTACAAGTTTATTGGAATGCACATGACTTCAAATTTGCCATACAAGGAGATCATTTAGATTCGATGACGAATCTTTTCGAAGAAGGGGAGAATGATATAGAAAAAAGTGATCACAGAGTGCACGAGGAAAGCCTACAAGAGGAGCAAGCTCAAATCAGCTCAAATGAAGCTTGTGCTCAAAGTCAACCCAATCATGAACCAATCATTATGTCACAAGGTCCAATCACAAGAGCTAGAGCTAAAAGATTACAATAAGAGTTGAATGGTCACTTCCAAGCTAAGGTGTACATACTTGGTGAAGAGTTGCATCCTGATATAGAAATGAGTGATCACGGAGTGCACGAGGAAAGCC